ATGGGGAAGCACAAACCGTCATGAAACCATATCTCATACGTGTTCACCCATCTTTTTGCCTCCTAGTCAACCCGCTCATAGCTCTTCGGGAACTGATCTCCACTGAACTAGGAACGTAGTACTGCATCTGAATCCGTCATTAATCATTCTCCTAAAGTAAAGGCAAAAATTTGACGCCTACGATCCCACTACCCGGTCGGCTAGGCTCCTTTACCGAGTCCCCACTAGTACTGATTGCTCTTAGAGTGTTTTGGCTCGTCTTTTGTATCTTCCTCACTCATCCCTTGCCTCTGTAAGCTATGACTACTCGACTTAGCAATACCACCCGGCTCAGAGATGGCTGCGTTCAGCCCCTTGGGAACTTCTACTAGTACGTTGCCTTTGTTGGAGTAGGTGCCCTAGAGCCATTCAATTATTGTAGAATTGACTCTTTGTAATAATGTTTATTAATCAATAAAAAGACATTTTTTTACTATATCATGTAAATCATATCTGTATGTATTGATATATGTCCTTAGGATGGTAGAATTGTGACGACGGTATCAAATGTTTCAAATCTTGATAGTGAGAACCCTATGATCACATATGATGGCCATTCTAGAAATGTCTGTAGCCGCAATATTATTCTGACCAAGGACACAGATAATACAGTAAGGTTATCATCGTGTTGAACGACCTTGTCGAAAGGTAGTGAATGATCTTACTTGTTAAGGTTGTTTGCCGAGAACCTGGTGCAACACATGGGTGCTTACTGTAGGCAAGATCACTGGACTGACCCACCAGAGGATTTCATATAGATGGTAACCCCATCTATGGAATAAATCCTCTAACAAATGGTAGTGCATGTGATCTTTAGACTTGAGATCACCAGAGTGCCTTGTGCACCGATTGGTGTAGTTTGACATAAGTATTTAGAGTTGTCAATACGGTAGTGATTGACTGTTTTGAGGAGTGTATCAAGACTGTGGTGGATTGATAGAGGATTCATCACTCCTGGGGAAGGGAGAAGTTATCTCAGACACAATTCAGTGTATGACAATGACACAAAAGCTATGGCCATAGTGGGATTGAGTTGTTGCTCAATCCAATTTATTTATCCGATCATTGGTCCAGTAACTGAATACAAAGATATCGAGAGTAACTGAGGTTGACATTATTTATGTACCTCAGTCTCGATGAGATAACAGATGATGAAAGGATTTAATTGCATGGTAACCATATCGTTGATAGGTAGCTATTTCGCTAAATCTGAATCTATTGGATGACCATGATGCCTTACTAGGGGCCAAAATTTAGTCTGTGTGTAGTGAGACGATTAATTGGTATTAATCATGATACTATTCACTGTCGGTATGATACGGAGCCTATAGGTCACACACTTAGAAGATAATTTAAGAATCAGTTTGTATAAGGGCTATTTTCATCTTTTAGGACAAAGGGTATTTTGGTAATCTCACAGTACAATTAAATTTGCTGAGGTTGTTGCTTGTATTTAATTTAATATTAAAATTAAATTAGTGAGATTATATTTCAATATATGTATGCATATATTTAAACGAATTATTATTATTAATTAAATGTTAATATATTTTATAAATATATTAATTGATTTTAATTATAATAATAATTAATTAAAATAAAATACCATAGCAAGGATGTTTGGATACAAGGGTGATTAGGGTTGGAGCCCATACCTATTCTTTATAGGAATAGGGTTTTAGCACATGCACTATATAAGTACATGTGTGTTAAAGAAAATTATTCATTCATTATTGAAAGAAAAGAGGCAGCCCCTTTACTCTCACCCTCTCACATTTCCCTTTCTAAGTGAATCAAAGATTTTCTTTAATTCAAGTTGTTTCTTGAAGCCAATTAGTGGATCTAGCAAATCTCTCTTTGGTTCTTCGGATTATCTTCGTATGGATCACCGTTCGTTCAATTCTACGTTGAATTGGTAGCGAAGTAGAATCAGAGACATTTGAAGGAGCCTCCAAATGTGTGTAAGATCTCTGTTCCTTGTCTGGACTGATATTATTTTGTGCAGAATTTTGATTTAACATGTGAACTATATAATCTATACCCGGATCTTGGCATAAAAGGAATCGATTTATCCTTTTAATTTTTGTTTTTTTGCTGCGTTGGGTAGATTGATTCCTAACAACTCTTCTGGCATTACGACCATAGTGGGAGCCTACTCGTACTTAGCCCACACATCGGTCTCCACATGACTTCCCTCACTCAACCCTAAGTGTGACATCGGATGACAATTTAAACAAGTCTTCATGTTTGACACGGTCTTGCAGACCGACAGAATGACTAAGGGTAATCTAACCTCGATAAACTCCTTCACACCGAATCTAACGCTTCACTCAGCTCAGACAGAGACACCGAGATGAGCGAAGTGGCTATCCAAAGTGTATCGATTTCATCTTCCCTCACCCAATGAAGCCAACACAAAAATCCTAGAAAGCACAAAAAATCTCCGATTTCGTTAAAAATGCCAAATTCGCCAAACAATGACCAAAAACTTGCTAAAACACACTTTGTTTACTTGGCACACTCCCAGGACCGAATATACTCGGTTTATTGAGAAGAAGAACAGAAAAACCAGAAAAAAAATACAAAAACTCCAAACCCCTTCGAAAGTTCTCCAAAAAACTAGCCTAAACACGCTAAAAGTGCTCCAATAAAATAGAAAACAGGAAAAAGAAACCGAGATTCGTAGAATGGAAGTTTTACTATGAATAGAGGTAAAATTCACCTGAATTGCCACAGCAATAGAGAGTTTTAAAAGATGAAGAAATTCAAACGCCAAGACGAAATGAAAACAAAGAGTCGCTTAAAGGATTTATTCTTTTTCTGCACATCCAATTTGTTAGAATGGCCATGCGGCACCTGGCAATTGGGTGCAACCTTTTGCATTCCTGCTCAAAAGTAGAAACTGATATTTGTCGTACACGTGTCATACAATGGAATCACTTCGAGATCCACAGTTTCCCTTCTCTCACTCAAACTCTATGAAACCCAACACAGTACACGCATCCCATTGCTAAAGCGCCACAAAATCACTCAAACAAGACTCGGCTCGACTAGACAGACGACCCTATCTAAGTGCAAAAGTCAACAAGTATATTATGTTAAAACTATACAAGACCTTGGTCTTCCAAACTGACCAAGTACCACCAAGGATCACAACTTACACCCTATCACTCGACTAAATCAGCAAAGTGGACACAACTGCAAGGACCATGCCTTGCATCCTAACACTTGACTTAATCAGTCGAATGGAGTCAACTGCACAAGAATGCATGAGTACAACCAACGGGAACATTTCACATCCCTCATCACGATATGACACTTGCACTCAGTCAAAAGAGCATTCGCTAGTCCTAGTAGACCTCCGCTCAGCCTGATTAACCTCTTTTCGGACCAGCTACTCTGCAAGCTAAATACTTTTTAGCTTAGAGAGTGGGGAGCTAATTGTGGGGGTAAAAAATCACCCAGGGTCCAGTCAGGCCCAGATAGGAATTTTCTACTACAATGGCCCTAGGACACGATCTAACTCTAGCTGGGCTAGCGTTGAATTTCATGATTTTGGGCCAAAGCCGGTGGCCCAAATCTAGCCTTCCTCCCGAATGGGTGTTATTGATAGCCCACTTAAGGTTAGGCCTCCGGAACAAGGTAGGATTGATTCTTCCTGTTCGATTCAATCCTAATTCGTTCAAGATTCCGTATCTTGGATGAATTAAGACTCCTGCTGCTAATGAAGGCGAGTGAATCATGATTTTCCTATTCACTAGATCTCTTCCTTTATGGATTTAGAATCTTATTGGGATACGAAGATCCCAGACTATTATATAAATAGGGGTCACCCTACAGTTTAGGCATTCAACATTACATCTTCTAACCCTTTAGTTCTCATTCTTGAAAGCTATGCATTGTCACCGTGGTTTTAGATTCTAACTAAGCTACTGGTAGCCTTTTCTTTCCCTTACCTTCACTAAAAAACCTTTATTATCTTTGCTAACGTGAGCGTCAAAATGCCTACGGCAAACACCATCCCGATGTTTTCTGTTTTTCTTTCTGTAATCGTAGATTTTAGCGTTTACACTTGTGTGATACGAAAAAAGAGTTTGTTGTAATCAAAATTCTAAATTTCTACATAATCTAATCATCTTAATTGAATTTTCTTTTTTTGTTTTAAAACAAATATTTCGATTTAGGTTTGTCAACAAATATTTCGATTTAGGTTTGTCGGATTTATATTTACACCCTATTAGCCCGTAAGACATCACATGCTTGAATCAACAGCCTGGTTCGGTTTATATTTTCGGGTTTGGGTGGGTACTTACGTTTACCCATCTTCGCTAACGTCTGTTAAATCCTGGGTCAATATTCGATTTTTAAATGGCAGGACAACTAGTAAGCGAAAATCAAATCATTCTCTCGTTAAATACATTGAAAATTATTTGAAAACTGAAGCTGAATCTGGGAAAGAGAGCGAGTCTCTCTTGATCTCAGCCTGTCAAACTCGTCAATACATCTCCTGCAGGTTCCTTTCTCACTCTCTCTAAAATCAATTTAATATTTACTCTTCATTTTCAAATTCTTTTTCTTTTTGTTTTATAATTTTTAGCTGCTTAATTTGGTCGAATATGATTTTTGAATTGAATCAAACAAACTAGGATTTTGTAGAAATGAGATTTGGGAATTCTTGTTTAATCCATTGATTTGTGAATTCGTGTTTAATCCATTGATTACGGATTCTTGTTGAGTTCATTGATTTTCGAATTCTTGTTTAATTTATTGATTTACGTTTGTTTTATTAGTGGATCCATGTAGATGTGTGGTTTTATAGTAATTCTGTATTTATGGTTTTCGTTACAATCTTAGTGAACAACAATGGATGCTTGCAGGGTATTTCATTTGCTGCGTGTCGGGATTGTACTTGACTGATGTTTGAAACTTCTCTGTTAATCAAGTTGTGATAAATTTTGTACAAAATGGAATCATTTGCTTTCAAATTAGTTAATACAACACTGAACTGGGTGACGTTGGCTCTAGATGCTCCGTCTGCCCGAGCCGTTGTTTTTGGAGTGCATATTGGCGGTAACTTCTAAATTCCAATATATTTGTGGGTATTTTTGTATCTTTTAGGGATGAAACCTTGTCTGACTGAATTAAGGTTGTTTTGGAACTCTGTCGGTACTTGATAGGCCATTTGTTTGTGGAACTTCTTCTTCTTGTGGTCATTCTTTTCCTACTTTCCCAGAAAAGTTACAAGCCTCCCAAGCGGCCACTGACGAAGAAGGTTTGTGTGACAGCTCTTCTTTGAACTTGTCATTTCATCCACAATTCTGGTTCAAAAAATGCATTTATGTCCGTTCTTATGATGAGGGTTGTAACAAGGGCTTTAATTACATGTCTTATGCTGGTGAACTTTTTTATTATGTATGGTTCTAGATAAGTATATGATGTTAGTAGAAGCTGGGAAATTGTTGGTCGGCTTTATGAAAAATTTCCTCATTAGGGATATGTCACATGTTTGTATTTTTTTTAGAATGAAAAATCTCTATCAAGTGTTGATGCTGTATAGCCATATGAGTTTTTCATGAGTTGCCCCATCTTTTAACATATGCATTTAAATTTTATTGATTATTTGTCAGATTTACTTTGTAGCCTTTATGACGCTTAATCTGTTTCTGGTGCTCATTTGTTTCTCTAAAATGTCATTGTTTTCATATTAGTTTGTCTACCATTCATTCTGATGTACATAATGTTGTATCAACCTAACATTGCTTAAAAGTTTGCTTGACTTCAATAGGAAATAGATGAGCTATGCGATGAATGGGTTCCAGAATCCCTTATTCCTCCTATCACAGAAGAGATGCAATATGAACCCCCAGTACTGGAAAGGTAAAAAATTGAAGTTATTTATATAGTACATTTTGTTTGAATGTAGCAAAGTTATGCTGCTGCCTCGATATATTGCTTATTTGTCTCACTTTTTAGATTAAAGGGGTACCCTGTATCTTCTGATCTTTAGTTTCATAATCTTTCTTTCTCTACAAAAGTCAAGTTCTTTAATGATACTACTCGTTTTCCCTGTATTTGATATGTTTCAATTGCCATTATTGTTCACACTAAATTATAGTGTACAAAGTCATAATTATTACCTTATGCGTCCTAATTAATTTTTATGTTTTGCAATTTAAAACTATTGCCTTACATGTCTCAGTTAATTTATGTTTTTGTGTAAGACATCTGTTCTATATGATTTACTCTAAAACAAGGAATCGTGGAATTCTAAGATTGAGAGTCATTTTTTCTGAACAATCGATTAGTTTTTTGAAAAGTATCTGAGTTCACAAGTTGCTTTTGATGCAGTGCTGCTGGGCCACATACAATAATTAATGGGAAAGAAGTTGTGAATTTTGCCTCTGCAAATTATCTTGGATTTATTGGACATGAGAAGTTACTTGTAAGAAAAGCTATTTTCATTATTAATTTGTGTCTACCATGATTAGGGGTGTTCAAAAAAATGCAAAAACCGAACCGAACTGGTAACCGAACCGAAAAACCTTTTAACCGAAAAAATGGTTCGGTTACGGTTCAAAGAATTCAGAAAACCGAATTTTAGGTTTGGTTTTCGGTTCAGGTAAAAACGAAAACCGGTTTGCTAAAATACTTATATATATTAAATAAAAAATAATAATAATAATCTTAATCCCTAAATCTGCACAATTTCTTTTGTTGTTTTCCATTGAGACTTATTTAGTTATTTTGTTGTTTTATTATGGACGTTTCATTGCGGACTTTTATTTTTGTTTAATTTTGGACTTTTATTTGTATCAATTTTTAATGTATTGTTAGTTGTGGTCAATGTATATGTATGAATGTTTAATTTTTATTTGGATATGTATTATTGATGTTTACAATTTAATTTAGGAAAAATAAAAAAAATAAAAAAATTTATAATAAAAAAGAGAAAACTGGTTAACTGAAAAACTGGTTTTCCCCCAAAACCGGTTCAGTTTCGGTTCAGGAATTTTCCTGAACCGAAAAACCAGTTCGGTTCAAGAACCGGCTAACCGCTTTTGAACAACCCTAACCATGATAATCAATTGAGTTCAATAGACACTAACTTAAAATACATACTAGGAATCATGCACCTCTGCATTGGAGAAATATGGTGTTGGTTCTTGTGGTCCTCGTGGCTTCTATGGAACAATAGGTCAGTCTCATCTTTGAAACTATCTCCAATTGACTGAGCTGAAGTTACTTTTCCTCTTATATAGGTATATACATTCATATACTAATACATTGGACCTCTTCCATATTTTAACAATTTTTTTTGTTCAGATGTTCATCTTGATTGTGAGGCCAGAATTGCTAGGTTTTTGGGAACTCCTGATTCAATCCTCTATTCTTATGGACTTTCCACCATGTTCAGTGCAATTCCCTGTTTCTGCAAAAAAGGAGATGTCATTGTTGTGTAAGTTTATGCTGACTATTTAATGTTCAGGTTACCTATGTGGCTCTGTTACAGAATGGAGTTAATAATTATTTTTTATTTGAATTTGATTTATATGGATAGCGTGGAAAAACATTAGCTGCTGTTTCCTTTTAGAGTAAGATTTTAAGTTAGGTTGCATTATGATTTAACTTGACTCTAGCAGGATAATAAGCATGACTGATCTTGACTGTTTACTTTTCAGTTAGGTATGAGGTTATTTTACTGTCCATAAATATGTGTTCCCCTTTAATATGAGTATGTTAGATGGATTAAAGTTTATGAGCTTTTTTCAATATAAAAATTTAAACTTTGTTTGCATTATGATTTAAATAGTGTAATTGGAAATGTGATCATTTTTCCATTAATCACTGATGTTTCTCATTACTGAGGCTTCCTTTTGTTGAAGTAATACATTTTTTTTTTTTTTTTTTTTTTTTTAATAATTTGAATCAATTCCACCTCATAATTTTTCATTGCCTTTCCTAATATATGATTATGGACAGGTTTTTCTGATCATGGTTTCCCTAATTGATGTTTCTCTTTCATGATATTGCCCAATTAACCTTGGCAGTTTTCAATGGAAAAGCATAAATACTAATTTGAGTTATTTTCAGTTCTGTTTTTATGATTTAGCACTTTATAAGGCATGTCAGAGCAACATTTTTCAGCCACAATGGTTTCTTTTTTCTCCTATTTTCTAATCTTTGATCATAGTTCGTTGGATATTTTTTTTTTTTTTGAATCTGGTATTTTTTGTCTGTGGCATATTTCTCCAGTTAACTTCCACGTATTAGTACAGGAGCTTTTGCTTCTTAAATAGTTTCCTAGAATTTTGGTTATAGATTTGTTCCCTCAAAAAATGTGGCTCTTATTTCTTCTTTTTTAGGGATGAGGGAGTGCATTGGGGAATACAAAATGGCCTTTATCTCTCTAGAAGTACCATTGTATACTTCAAGCACAATGATATGGAATCATTACAAAAAACTCTGGAAAGAGTTACTGCAGAGAATAAGCGGGCTGAGAAACTGCGGCGTTACATTGTGGTTGAAGCTGTGTACCAGGTATCTTTTGTCATCCTTTTTTGTATTTTCAGTTATTCTTTTTTTTCTGTCTTGTCACGAAGCTGTGGATTTCCACCATTTTGACACATGCCTCGTTTGTGGCCAAACTCAATTGGTTTACATGGGCAGCGTGTGTACTTTATAAAGCCCTGCAATTGCAATGGCTTTTGTGATCTGAATTGAATAAAATCATCTGCTTTATTATTCCTCCTAATATTCTCTCATGTGTCTATTTATTTATTTATAATAAAATACATATTAATAGACTTTGACCTATTGTGCCTTCTTTGTATATCTTTTTTGTGAATGGAAAGAATGTTTCTGCATTTCATTGATATAAATGAAATTCTGGTAGGGGAAGGTTCACCAAAATCTATTCTTACGGTGTTCTAGTATCCATCTTCCTAAAGCCAGAAGACCACAAAATTTCACTGTTTGTCAGCTCTTGATTTGTACCAAGGCTATCTGAAAGGGTCTTAGTTTTACTGGTTATTGGTTGATTTTATTTTCTGAATTTAAACAGTTATACGAATAATTAGTTGTTGTAAAGTTCATCTTTTACCTTGTTCTTTTATTAGTTGCTATGTGGCTTCAGTGATATTATTTCTCTGGGGCATATGGGACGCATATTTTTCACTGGTACAATACAATTCTTAAGAGAACTGATAATCAATTTGAAGAATTAATTAATTGTTTACAAGGTTTAATAGTATCCTTGGTTTTCATTTTTGTTAGTTATTTGTTTGCTATGATGCTATAGTATCATTATGTTGTCATGCTTCGGAATCTATTTCATTTTAGACGTAATCTGAACATGAGGGACTGAATAATATTAATTGTTTAATTCTAAAATTTTTAGAATTCTGGTCAAATAGCTCCGCTGGATGAGATAATCAGATTGAAAGAGGAATATCGATTCCGCGTTGTGTTGGATGAGAGTAATTCATTTGGCGTACTTGGCTCTTCTGGAAGAGGCCTCACTGAATACCATGGGGTTCCGGTATGTTCTGAACACTTATTGTGCTTTTTTTGTTGCTTTGATCTCTGTTAATTGTAACTGTATGGCCTTGCAGATTGAGAAGATAGATATTATAACTGCTGCTATGGGGCATGCATTAGCCAGCGAAGGAGGATTCTGCACTGGAAGTACTAGAGTGGTTGATCACCAAGTATGGAAACTAAACTTTAGAAAACATAGTCCAGTATTTTGATGTGCTCTTCAGTACCCTTTCGGGTTTTACAACCTCAAAGGGAAAAAAGATGCATGTGGCACTGTATTTGGACAATAGGAAGTCGACAACACAATTATTTAATCTAAAAACTTGTGTTGAACTCAAAAAGGACTGTTTTGTTTTGTTTGTTTCTGAAAAATAGGAGTTGAATAACTAACAAAATATTTCTACTTTTCCAAAATATAGTAGCAGATGCATTCTGGATTTGATAACACAGAATTTAATTACATGTTTTCATTTAATTTTTCTAATGTAATTTTCAAAATGTACCATGCGGGGTCTAATATTATCATAATGAATGTGGAAGTTCTGTGTTGCACATTCTTTCACTCTATTATATTCACAGGTGATGATACTTATTTTTTTTTTTCAATTTGTAAATGCTAATTTTTTAATCTGTTAAATCTCTGGCAGCGTTTGAGCAGTTCTGGATATGTTTTTTCTGCGTCTTTGCCCCCATATCTTGCTAGTGCGGCAATTACTGCTATTGATATCCTTGAAGAAAACCCCAATCTGATAACAAAGCTAAAGGAAAACATTGCTGTATTATGGAAAGGTTGGTTTCAGAATCACTTCATTATGCACAACTAGTTGTAGGAACTGAAATTTTAATTCGAAACAATCCTAAAAATCTTAAGAAAAGGCATATAGATCGTATGACTTGGGATTTTGGTGTATGTATAGATATACTCTCTGGTTCACTTTCTCTTTGGTTCATTTTTCTGCCTATGTATACATATGCTGATATAGTTGAATTTTACTTTCTGCCTATGTATACATATGCTGATATAGTTGAATTTTACCAACTTGTTTTAATCTTCCCATTAGATGGCACATCTACCTTATTTTTATTTTCATATCGACATTATGGCTGTTGCTATTATCTGCATGACTATTTTTCACAAGTCATGCAAATACAATATTCGCCCAATGATAATAAAGACTGGTTAAAAGATTTAAGTACTCATTTTCTATTCACTATGTATCCTCACACTGGGTGTATGTTTTCATATATACATTATTAAATGTTTTGGAAGAATTGGTTGTCTGATATGGAATGCTTCCATAGTAAACAAGTGTTTTTTGGTTGTAAATGGGTGTATGTTTTCATGTTTACACTGCTTTGGCTTTTGAAAGAATCGGCGTTTCAGATATAGTGCTTTCAAAGTAATCAAACATCGTATGTCTGGTAGCATAATACTTGAATGATGCTGATGGTATCTAATTACTGATGTAGGAGTTTGGAATTTGTGAATAGCAGATATGTTTCTTCTTGACTTTTTGATTTGAAACATATTGGATAAACTGCAGGTTTATCAGACATTCGTGGCATCACAATTGCAAGCAATCCAGAATCACCAATTGTATTTCTTAGACTAGAAAAGTCAACAGGTTCACAGAAAAATGACCTACTGCTGCTCGAAGATATTGCTGATCGTGTAAGCATATTGTTCTTTGGCTTCATTTAGATTCACCCTTTTGTTATTCAGTCGTATCCTGATTCTATTTCTGGTGGCTTACATTCTAGGCTTTGAAGGAAGACTCAATATTCGTAGTGGCTTCAAAAAGATCAACACTTGATAAATGCCGTCTGCCTGTAGGAATTAGGTTATTTGTTTCTGCTACTCATTCAGAATCTGATCTGATGCAGGCAAGCGAATCTTTAAAGAGAGTTTCGGCAGTGGTGCTGAGGGATTATAATTGATTGCTGCACAAGGCATCTTTCTCTTTTCCGGGCAAGTTGGATCACATAGGATTTCTCTTACAAATGGCATTATTTATTAAACAATTTTGTATTTTATCGCAAGCATGCTCAGGAAGGACTGTAAATGTTGATACTTTATGTATCATTCCTTGTGTGCATTTTGACATGCATTTTTTTTTTCCTTTTTCTGTGTTGTTCTTTTAACCTTGAAAATTTAATTTAAGTTGATTAGACCTTGTTACAAGAATTCCTAATTCTCGAGTTGTAGAGAGGGAATTATGTTATGCTGTTAACCTTTTGGAAAACGTTACTGTTTGAAGCTCAACACCTGAAAGATGATGCTGCTATGATTATTATTTTTATTTCTTTTAAAAATTAGACCTCAATATCTATATCTATTTTAGTTAAAATTTTACCATTTTATGTCCTAATGATTATGTTGATGCGTGATTTTTACACCAATCAAACGCACGTGTGAAATGCTGAGTTGGCCCAGAAGACACACGTGGATGAGAGAGTGAGAGTAAAAGCAATAGAGAACAGTGCTTAAAGTGGTTCGGATGCTCAAAGAAACAAATCTTACATCCATTGATTTTGTATTAATAGTGGTCAGGTCGCGTTCAGCGAGCTGACTTACAAGTGATTACACAGGAGAGAGAATGTTATTTTTCTTTAGAGAGATTAGCTAATCCCCCAAATGAGAGAGGAGCTCTCAATTTATAGTGGGATGGATTAAGGTTATGATTACTAAATCTGTGAGTTGGTGGGATTATCTGTGTAAATCCTTTTTTTATGTCCCATTGCTCACTTTCTAGAGCGATTTACGCGATTTGGTGCAGGGATTAGACACGTTGAATCACTCTAGCTCCTGGCTGGTCTGACGAGTACTCACTACCCTGACAGGAGCGTGTCGTCCATGCCATTGTGTGACATGGCTGCCTCTGACTGGTTGCGGACCTACTTAAGCTCTGACTTTTTATGCTGATTAGGTCTTGCGTCAGTCCTACTTTTTCAGGCATAACAGAAGTCCCCTAGTTTTTAAGGTTTGAAGATCGAACCTTGGAAACTATAATTCATGCCGTGACAAGATGCCTTCGAGGAAATTCTGTTCCGACCTGTTTGAAAACAGGTCGAGACTGCGCTTTTGTGCGTGCGACTTGATAGTCTTTGCTTAAGGATGAATGACCTCATTTTAGACCATACCAGTGCTTTGATTTCGATTTTCCAAAGTTCACAACCTAATTATACTTGGAACTCTCCTCTGGACAAGGGAATGGGCTGTTTCAGAACTGAATACTCGTCGAGAGTCACGTCGCTTCGCGACCAATGGGGTAGAATCGAGGAGTCACGTTGCTTCGTGACTGGCCAGACGAAGAGTGTTCTACGTAACGATCTCTTCAGACGTTACCTGTTGCATTTTCGTAATGGATACATTTAATGAAACGCCTTCTGCTCTGACAGACGTGTCCTGGGCACAATTAATGCCAGCCATGCGCATTAAATGCATGACATGCTGAAACGATATCCCCTATCAGAGCATTAAATGTAGATTGGAGCGCATTTAATGCGGAAGGAGAACGTACCATCGCTTGAGTTTTTCAACGGAGAAAGACGACGATTTGGGAGCGTGACGGTCACCCTTCCCCGTGGATCTGCGACACGTGGTCGCAATCAACGGTGAGATACATTTTTCCGCCTAAACGTCGTTTGATTTTAGGAAAACCAAGCGCCAGTTCTTTTTGCTATAAAACCTAGGTTCATTTCAGGCAATGTCACCATACTCATCTTTTCAGAGAGAGCAAGAGACTTTTGCAAACTTGGATTCTTTGCCTTCCAAACCAGCGCGTATTTGATATTCGAAGCAGAAGAATTCATCTTCATATTTCAAGAAGTAAGGATCGCTTTTTGTTTTTATTAGGATCGCTTTTTGTTTTTATTTCTTACTCCCAGTAGTTGATAAATGATATCAGTCTGCCGGTAGTTGATCGGAGACGAAATGTTCTTGCTGGGTTCGAGCCATGAATGGCGGCTCGAAACATTCTGTTAGGGTTTTTCTGGGAATTAGGAAGGGAAGTGTTTCCTTTCCTCCACGTCATCATACGAAATAGTGTACGAGGGCTAAATGATTCCCTGCTTGTCGCTATTGCAGACTGCAGTAGGATGGACCCCTCGACGACCAGATATAAGGAAGGGACCAGTTCGTCTACGCAGGATGCTCCTGCGAGGCCCATTCAAGAGATCTTCTCGGTACTTACTAAGGATGAGCTCGAAAGGGTGATAGACCAATAAGCTATCCGCGTGGAGGTCTTCCACGATAGGACGCGTACAGCTCGATATCCGCCACGTGGGTTGGCTGCGATCTCCGAGGAAATCTTCAAGGGTAGGGGGTTGATCCTTTTCCACCCTTTTGTCAGGTCGGTCTTGGATCATTTCGGTATCGCGTCGATGCAACTCACGCTGAACGCGTACATCATTGCGGTTGCCATGTACATCGCGTGTCGTGAGAACAAGTTGGGCGAGCTAACTGCGGTAGAGCTCAGTTGCTCGTATATCCTAAAAAAGAGCAAGGACAAAGATTCTTACTACTTGTCCAGGCGACCTACTATAGTAGCGGGGATACATAGTTACCCTAGCAACGTGGGGGCCTACGAGACGAAGTTTTTCTTCTTTTGTTACGACGACCTTTGCAGCTTCCAAGACCTGAGTAGGTTCTTTTCCCTTAACGAATTTATTGACTGTTTCTTTTGCTAACGATCTGTTTATTTTTCTGGTAGTTAACAAAACGACCAATTTAGATCTGCTCGTGGACCCGGACAGAATCACAGCTTTCTGTTTCCTGCCCGAAACGAGTCGTGACGCAAAGCTGCTCGTGACAACCGCGAATCTGCGGAGATACAGTTTCTTCAACGTAGACGCGACCTTAGAGCCCCCATCGAGTAAGTTGCGTTAACTGGGTCTTTTTCAATTGCGTAATGAACTATTTTTACTAACGATGTTCGCATGCAGCAATCATGCCTCCGAAGGTGCCAAGGTCGCCACGATGAAGGCAGTTTACTTTCTCTCGAGTGAGGACCGCTAGGACGACTGAAGCTGCTCCCACTGGTCTCTCGACCGAAGGGGGAACATCGGGGGCTTCGGCGCGTCCTGCTGAGACTTCCCAACCTTCGACGGGTGCCCCAATCCGACCTACAGGAGCTTCCCAGCCTTTGGTTGCTCGCTCGAAGCAAAAGACAACGGCCCAACGATCCAGGAAGAGGCAACAAATTCGGGTCGAAGAGTCAGAGTCAGAATTGTAGGATCTGGGTGTTCAGCCCTAGAGGTCGCAGCCAGGCATTCCCACTGCTTTGGGAGCATCTCGAGTAGGTCAAAGCGAGGTCGCAGGCATTGGAAAGAGGTCGGGTAAGGAACCGGTGGGCGACACCCCTGCGGGGGCACCGGCAAGGACACTCTAGTGCTGGACTCGATGGGACAACTGCCGGATCATTTGCAGCCGGTGGTCTTCAACTTGCTGGAGTGCGGACTCGCGGAAGTATTTGAAGAGTTCGTGGATTCCAATCATGTGGACCTGATGTCCACATCAATCCAGCACATAAGCAAGGTAAAACGAACTGTCCTCAGCGAGGACTTTGTCTTTTCGTTCCTGGTAGGAAACTAACATTATTCTTCTTGTTTGTAGGCTCTGCTCTCCATGCAACTATCCTTGCAAAAGGTCCGGCTGGGAGCTGCTACGGGAGAGGTCGCGCTGAAGGAAGAGAATGCGCGACTCAAGCGGGACCTAGAAGCCGCCGAAGCAGAAAAATGAGCTATCCACTGAATCGGCGAACCAGTACCTGAACGAAAGGAATGCGGCTTTTCGTACGATGGATTTTCAAAAGACCGAGCTCGAGAAGCACGGGGAGGAGATAAAGGAACTCCAGAGGACTATAGCCAGGCTCTCTAGGGAGGTCAGCGAGAAAGACCAGGAGCTCAAAATGACCTCTCAGCGGGCCTTACGAGCAGAGCAGGAGAGGAGGCCTCCGAGAAGCAAAGGCAGGCTCTCGAGGCCAAAATCCAAGCAAGTCAGGGAAGAGTTACTTCACTGACCGAAGAGATGCAGAGCCAAGCAGCGGAGATCGAGGTAAAGGCTTCTGAATGGGCGATTGAGTCCATCAATGCCTTGCGGTCGAAGAATCCAGAGATTGATATGTCCGACCTCCCGGAGGATTGGCGGGAAACTCTCATATCCATGGCGCGGCTTGACGATGAGGAAGCAGCGGAGGCCACCCGAGGATTTGATCAGGGAGAGGCTTCGGGATACGCCCCGGAGAAGCCCACAGTCGACCAGACGGATGACGACCAGCCCTGAGATGATGAGGTCCAGGAGTTGGGGATCAGGGCCGATAATTGTAATTTATTTTTGGGATCTTGTTTGCTGTACTTAATGAAATGCATCTTTCTTTGAGCACTTACGATTTCTGTACCCCATGTTATATATGAGATCGTATTCTAACTGTTTATAACATTAGAACAAGTCTATGCAAACATGATTACAACACGTCTGTGCAAGCAAAATTACATGTCGAAAGATATTACAACAAAATAATACACTTGTTATTTACAAAGATTGTGAGAAATAAAATCTTTACAAGGAAAGATTGAGTTCGGAATTACTGATAATATGGTCGGAGGTGCTCAACATTCCAAGCTTGTGGTACTTCGGAACCATTCAGCCTTTTGAGATGATAAGTCCCCAGTCTTATCACTTTGGCGATGTGGTATGGACTTTCCTAGTTCGGTCCTAAAACTCTTGCACTTGGTTCTCTGGTACCGAGAAGAACTTCCTTCAAAACAAGGTCGCCGACCTGGAAGTCTCTTCTCTTGACCTTAGAGTCGAAGAACCTCTTCGCGCGCTGCTGATAGGCTGCTATTCTTAGCTGAGCCTTGTTGCGATGTTCTTCAACTAGGTCTAGACTTGCGCGCATAAGCGTTTCGTTGTCGGCTTCGTTGTGCAAGTCCCTCCGAAGTGAACCGGTTCCTACCTCCACAGGGATCATCGCTTCGCAACCATATGCTAGCGAAAAAGGGGTTTTTGAGGTAGAGGTTCTCGGAGTTGTCCTATATGCCCATAGGACTTTGGGGAGGTCATCGGCCCAATTCCCCTTGGTTGTGCCAAGCTTTGCCTTCAGGGTGTGCTTGATGGTTTTGTTGATAGCTTCAACCTGACCATTTGCTTGCGGCCTTGGACTGAGGTGAATTTTTTATGAATACCTAGCTTGTTGCAAAACTGCTTGAACTCCTCGTTGTCGAATTGTTTACCATTGTCTGAGATAAGAGTATGAGGAATCCCATAGCGGCACACAATGTTCTTGAAGACGAAGTCCTTGAGTT